CAATGCAACACAACTTTTCTGGATGATGGCCTGTTATCATGTATATTTTCCTATCTGATTATATTATATGTCCCCATTCAGCAAACACTTGGGATGCTGCTAACATTGACCTTCATTTGCATAGCACCCAGACCCGACTTGTTAACACGTCAATTAAGTACACAAGCACTATGACAGTCGCTTCTTAAAACACCTGCAATATAAGATACATGTATAAAATTCATGAAGTAATTGATTGCCTATCTCAGAGACAAATTCAATAGTCAATAAAAGCTAAGAAAATATTAGCTTGTATTTCTTTAATTTTTTTTCCATTGCTAATTTGATCTGCTTGTGCTGAAAAAGCTAGGGAGCCATAGAAACCTCAAATATTTGCGGCCAAACTAGCCTAGTCATAGATATTGTTATGTGTGGCCAGATAAGACTTCCATTATATTTTATCTAGCATAGAATTAGATTAATTATTGATAATGAATATGTACATGCAAAAACCTCTCTATCTTACATAATGAAGTGAGTGAACCATAAAAGCCTCAATTGTTTGCAATTATGATCAAACATTTGCACTTCACAGAACTTGATCTAAAGCAAGGCATTTTTCTTGTAATAGAACATGCACATATTCTAATACAACACCAGCCTTAGCGTTACACTGAACCTCTAGCAGAACAAGGGAAACAGAGATCATGAAATCTAACTAGTACTTCATCCCAAATTATAAGACGTTTTGGCATTTCTACATTCATAGCTTTTGCTATGTATCTAGACATAATATATATCTAAGTGCATAGCAAAATTTATGAATCTAGAAAAGCCAAAACGTCTTATAATTTATGAATCCAGACAAACATTATTTATATAAGCTGAGAGTTCACGTATAAAGCAAATTATCATATAAAATTTTCATGATATGACATTTGAATATTGCATTGTGTAGCTGATTAGGTCTTAGCAACAAACATTTAGTTCTTCTGAGATGAAAAAAAATACGGATATATTCCTTAAGCTAAGAAGATTCAGTTCAGTTGCAGGGAACTGTGGTTAAGAAAAACAATTTATGCTTGTTCACTGGAAACTTGATCTAACTAACACAAGAAGAGGCAATACCTATCGGCTATAGCACATAATGACACACCACACTAATTGATTAGGTAATTTTTCAAATGTGAAAATATGTGTTCTACCAAAAACAATTACTAGTAGGAATCAAATGCACGATAGTTTCTTAGGTGAATATCTCCTTAGGTGTGATTCATTATTACAACCACTTCAGCAAACTCATAAGTACATAAGACCGCAAATACAGTGACAAGATCAAAATAGTCTCCGTAGGTGTAATTCATTATTAGAGACCACATCAATCTTGACGTTTCCATCACAACTGACAGGAACATATAGAGTAATGCAAGGCCGTTCAGGTAAGAAATCACCATTCCTCATGTGCAAGAAAATTTTGAAAGTAGAGTGGAAGATTTAATTAATTTGCAGACTAAAATATTTCTATTTTGTGTGAATGGTGATAAAAGAGCAACCAAGAAATATACATAAGTATCAAGAAAATTAATCATGTGGTAGCCAAGGAAATGGAGCAGAACATATTTGCACTTTGCAGGGTTCGCAATGTAATCCACATGTTCTTTACGTTATCATAGGTGGATTATTTAACACCAGTACTCAGAAGGATCAAAACAATATGGTAAATAAGTTGAAATGGCAAGGAGTTAAAAAAAACAATACAAGATCCACTTTTGTTCGCACCTGGTAAGATCTGAACTGAATCAGGAGTAACATTCTTGAAACTGTGAACTTAAATGGATAGCTAAGTAAAAACTACATGAGCATGAGAGGAGCATGGAGAAGGTTTCATATACATGAATATCAGAATCCCATACTCAGAGTTGCCATTTACGGAGGTGTCCAGGATATGAGACTCAGACGAAACAGACTATAATGAATTTTTCAAATAACAAAAGTGAATTAAAGATCAAATCAGGAACTATTTCATGTTTAGAAAATGTTGTGCTTATATTGAAAGCAAATGTGAGTTTAAACATTTTGCTGGGGATGACAGCTTACAAACCTAGTGGCACAACATTGCAGTTGCAGCTTCACAAACTAGCAGAACATACAAAAGTATTTGTCCCCACTTTCAGGCCATGGCATGTAAAATGAAAATACAGAATAACGGGAAAGATACCAACTAACAGATGGCTATACAAGATGGAATCGCGTACTGAAAGCAGATATGTTGATAACTTGCGAATTTATTTTTCTAATCAGGCAATTTAATAGTAGAAGCAATCTGATACTGTTAAAAAAACTCATTCTTGAACCAGCTATGTGAGAGAACTCAATATAGTAACATTCACACAAACACGGAGCATCCAAGAGACTTGCTATTTACTACCGTACAATCTGGTCTGGATAATTGAGACTGAAATCAAGTAGTGATGTATGATCAAAAGGTATTTTATGAAATCCCTCAATTATACCTGGAATCTCACCTATGGTTCATGCATTCTATGCCATGCTGCCACAAAATCTTCTAGTTCATTTGAGCTTGCCTGATTAGAAAATGTGTCCACCAAAAGCGATAAATAAGTGTCCACAAAATCACTAAACAAAATAGAAACCCAAGTGAACATGCTGCAACAGGAATTAATAAGCTGAAAATTAGAAACTTCTAGTTCATTTGAACTTTGCCTGATAAAAGTGTGTCCAGTAATTTTAGGAAAGATGGCATCATCATAGTTCATGGAGTATGCATCATGGACTAAAACAACCACAACCTAGAGTTAATGAAAATGAAAAAAGAAGGAAAGGCATCAAAGAGAGAAGGGAACACTAATTTTAATGATTGTGACATTTGTGATTCTAGAAACATTTTTAATATCAAAAGCAATTCCTGATGCCAGTACAACAAAATTCTCATTTATATGAAACCATATAATAGGGTGTCCTTTGTGTCTCCCCCGTCGTACTGACTCACAGACACTATCTCATAATCAGTCTATCTAATTTCATTCCTCCCTCTACCCACATATGTTAATTAACAACTAGATGAACAAAACTGGTGTTTATGAAATAAGCTCTAAGCATCATAATTGGAGGTGAAAAAATTCCATCTATGAATAAATTCAAAATAAGTAATATGTTGGCATATCCATATATAATCTCTGATGTTTTTTTATGAATCTCTATAAAAAAGAGATGTTGAATCATCTGTACTATAGATAAGTAGACTAATTTATTTAATAATTATCACACAATGGCACTGCATATGAATTAAACAAACAAATAAAAATGATTAGATCTGTTAATGCACCATTATAACTCCCAGCTACGTATAGATGTAAATATGTAATGAAAAAAATATAAAAAGATCAATATCAGACACTGATAAGAATTAAAGAGTCTTGTGATTACTTTCTCAATCCTATTCTGTAGCGTAGTGGCTTTGGAAAATCAGCAGATAATGCGAAAATTAGAAGCTCTATGTTTGTCCCACTTCAATTCTGAATGTGCAGGCGGCACTACAGTAAGAACAGACAGTCTATCGAGCCCTTCCGCAAAGCCACCATGACCGCCTTCACCTATGACTGAACAAGAACAAAATTATGAGAAATTACCATTGGGTAAGACCAATAGGATTGCCACAAATGACTAATCGAGACCATATTTAAAAGATGAGGGGAAGAGATAATTTCCGAAGACTTGATGTCTACCCAGTCTAGATGGAGAGGGTGCCTCAGCATATGGATCTGGATCATGGGAGAGTTGCAGGACGCGACGATGTCAGATGAAGATGCGGGGGGACAGAATGGAATACCTGTGTGCCACCAGCACTGCAGGAGCCATGGCTGTGATAGCTGTGGTTGGATCTCATCGGGCTCCACGCTCCCCAGCAGGCCACATGAATGTCTGGCTGCTTGGCCTCACCGACATTGGACCAGATCGCCAAGGTCAGTCCCGGCACCTGCGCCTCGCGGACCCAGCCCCAACCTTGCAAGTCTGCTTTGTCAACACCTTGCGACCTGCCTCCGGAGGGGTGAGGGGTGGCGCCGATGGGGTGCAGGTGGTGGTGCCGCGCCGGAGGGTCAGGGGCGCGGCGCCGGTAGGGTTGCGGACAGAGCGAGCTGTTTTTTTTTGGTGAAACGCGAGCTGATTGGAATTGAACCGCAGAGAACGTGGGCAATGGGTTGGGGAGCGGTTCCAAAATCTGACTGCGAGCCGGGCCGGGTCATCGAAAGGCCGGGCTGGGTCATCGAAAGGCCGGGCCGGGTGGCTGAGCCGGAAGGCTGCCCCAAACCCCTTGACGTAGGTGCCTGAGTCTGCGGAGGACGGTGAGCCAGGCGTGCGGTGGGAGGCTCGGGTACTAAATTAATATTCGGTACCCAGGTATAATATAGAATACATATATATATATATATATATATATATATATATATATATATATATATATATATATATATATAGAGAGAGAGAGAGAGAGAGAGAGAGAGAGAGAGAGACACTCCACAAAAGTATATCAGCGCGCGCGTACGCGTCGAAGTCCTCACGGCAAAGGGCCGGAGATGTACGAGTGCACGTCACGTAGGACGACGAAACCGGAATAAAACGTGTACGCAGCCGCCCGCAGGGCACCACGCGCATCTCCCTGCTGCGTGCACACGATCGGCCGCAACGTACAATGGCTCAAGAACGAGATTGGTCGTCTCTCCCAAAGGATCTACTGAGCCTTGTCCTGGAGCGGCTGCCGTGGTCGACCCACCCGAGCTTCGGTGCCGCGTGCAGGCATTGGCTCTCCGCTGTGACGCCCTTCTACCCGGCCTGGGTGACCCCGGTCCTTCTCTGCGCCGCAGACGTCGGCTCCACCAACCTCCGCTTCTATAGCCCTTACTATCACAAGAGCTTTGAGACCTCCTGCACTCTAGATCCCCTCACCAGGCGCCAAGTTGTGCTGCGCCGTCGGGCACCACCTCACGCTATGCCGGCGGTCGATGATACTGGAAGCCGACCTCGTCACCGGCGATGTCCACGAGCTACCCCCGATGAGATATGGATGGTTCCACTTCGTCGTCTACGACGGTGCGCAGAGGATGTTTGGCGTCCACACAATTGGTGCGCCCCGGACGGCCCTCACCATCAAGAACGGCGACGGTGGCGGCGAGTGGGACGACTGGGACTACGCGGATATGCTCCGCCCCAACTCGGAGTTTCTTGAATCGTCGCCGAACACAAACCCCGTCCTCCATGGCGGCTTGCTCTACGTGTTGTATGATGGCGGGAAGTTGGCGCTGTACGACGAGTCCAGGCACCGCAACGACGGCTACTTGGAAATTCTTGATAAGCCAAAGAGCTTCGGTATCGAATGTGAAGACAGATATTTGCTCGAGTCCGACGACGGTGAACTCATGGCCGTTCTCGTCGGCCGCAACGGAACAGCGGTCGACATTGTCAAGCTCAACGAGCAAGAGATGGAGTGGCAGAAGGTGGAGAGCCTGGGCGGGCGAGCCTTGTTCACCGGCACGCTCACCACATTCATGAGAAAGACTAAAGTCAAATGGATGCAGAACAGGGTCTTCTTCCCGAGACTCTATGAATGGCCCGAGACTGTCCATGTTGACATTGACATTGTTGATCGCGACGGCGAGCTGGCTTTTGTACCTACCTCTACTGGAGCGGACGCAAAGCCAGCCATAGATGGCGCTAACATGTGGTCTCATGAAATAGGTCCAGAGGAACCAACGGACAGTCTGTTCGTTTATCATTAGTTTTAGTCAGGGTTTATCAGTCAGCTAACACTGTTTTTCTTTCATAATAAATCAGCATCAGCCGAGCTTATCAACTCAGAAACCAACCAACGAACAGACTGATAGTTTTGGGACACGAAAGGGTGAATTATAGTATTTGTGTTGATTTTAATACATACTGAATAAATGCTCCAGCAAATGTTGGTGTAGTTTAATTTGATTATTAGCTAGATATAGATATATAATAATAATAATAATAATAATTATTATTATTATTATTATTATTATTATTATTATTATATATAATTGAGTTATAGTGTTGCTGCTAGAAATACCGGTGGAGAGATACATATCAGAAAAATTCGGTCACAGTGTGCTTTGGTTGATTTGAATTTCGATTACTTGAATAAGAAGGTTCGATCTATTACGAACAGCAAATGATTTTTTTGCGATTATTATTATTATTTAATTTGCCAGTGGGGTGTTGTTTGGAAATCTAGTTTATGAACTAATTTTGCATGATTTTGTGATATTGTTTTGTCTAATACTTCTATATATGACAATAGTTTTCCTCATGAGATACTCCTACTGGTCATCTCGACTAAAACTTAACGAAGATCAATCCAAGTACCGCTATGACTACAAGTCCGGGCTGAGTTTTGGTACAACTATAATAGACTTGTTTAGTCCACCAACTCGTGAATAGACTTATTATTAATTTTTGCAGGTTAGATTAATAACCCACAAAAATTAAGCATATTTAAGGGTTCGCCAATAACTCACCTTGCATCCCTAGCTTGTTTGACTACTCCTGGCTTGATGACCCCGCAAATAACTGGATATGGATACCCAAAGCCTTCCGCGGTAGAGGGATAAGGGGTTTCCAACTAGGATACACTACGCCAGAACAGGCTCACTGCCGGTTATATATGTTGAAGCCGACAGTGAATCTTAACTGTCAGGTCGTAAGCAATCCGGTCAATGATTTGGGATCGTTATAAACCGACAACGACGAGCCACACATCACTATCGGTTGAAGCCACTAATTGGCACTGACATGTCAATACGGTTAGTAGCCATTACTCGACGGTGATAATTGGTAATACCACTGTCGGCTCAATTTTGCATTCAATAGTGATATTTCACTACTGGGTCGCGGCTTTACCTGAACGACATTAAGGGGTCGCGGCTTTACCTGAACGACATTAAGGCATCACTGACGAGTTTTTTTGAATTACTTGCTTCTCCGCCGTCCGCTCCGCCTTACCACCATTTACTTGTTCCTAGTTACAAAACAGGCATCCAGATGTAGCATATATCACACCCCCACGGGGAGATGAGGTCCCCTGTCGTTTGTAACACTAGCGTGATCCAGTATGTAACACTAGCTCATTGCTTCACTGTCATTTGTAGTCTCAATACATGCTCTTTGTGGGAGAAAACCCTCTGCATACACCTTCGTTCCATTCATTGTTAAGACGGTGCACAAAAGGTATTGGAACAATGTACATGAAGATGGAGCCACGTGGAAGCCAGGGTACGCTGGCAGCAATTCTAGCGTGTCTTGGTTGGTTGTTGCGCCATGTTAAGCGAGAGGCATTGGCAAATCCCATCTCGCACCCGTAGCGACTCCTCCGTCCCTCCGGCATGCTAGCTCTTGCACATTTGAGATTCTACTCGGGTGCTAGAAGAATGTACATAGAGTGGTTATATTATAATGTGTATGTAGACTTCAACGCTAACATTGGACTAGTCCGGAAAAATACGTAATTCTATTTCAAGGTCTTTGTTACTGTATGTACTCCACATCTTTCTAAATTCACGTGCAAATAAACATCATATATATACTTGCTGATCTAGTAGTAGTCTAAAGATGATGACTAACATACTAAACATAACAACAAATGCAAATCCAGAGGTATACCCTGAAGCGGGATTCCGACGTTGGCTGTACTATTCTCACTAGTTGATATAGTGAGTTGCTCAAAGTCGTGGACCGTAGTTGATGTAAAAAGTGTGTTGATCGCCTGATCGTTAGACTGGTCAAAAGTAGACATGCGTGCTGGTCACTTGATTATCACACCGGTCTGCATGTCGGGAACACAAGTAGTCGCGTGACGAATGTAGCAGAAACCATCAATAGTTTCTGTAATCTTGGACAGTGTACCAAGAAAATATTCTTCCCAAAGCAGCCATTTCATGTAGGATCCGAATAAGCATCCAGCCAATCATTCACCTTCCGGTACCTATGAACAAACCGACCATGAACTCCGGCCTGTCCATGCTCGCCGCAGAGTTGTGCGAACCGCATCGCGGCGCCATCGTGCTTGCCGCGGGAGGCAAGGGGCAGGCGGGGTCGGTGGTGTAGATGGTAGCGTTGGCTAGGACCATGTCGGCGAAGTGGTCCCAGGATCATATCTTCTTGCTTTTGCTTGCTTGCCATCGATGATGAACTCAACCGCATCTTGCTTGCTGGCTTTGTCGCCTGCAGTCCATGCCCGGCGGCATGCGGCTCTCCTTCAATGCGCAAGAAAAACGCAGGCAGTCGCGCAAGTACACACGCCAAGTATTGCTCTGGTGCTTCCATCTCCTCCGCCTCAGCCGGCGGCGTCGCAGCCCTCGGACAGCAGCAAGCACGGCGAGTTCTCCATCAGCAGTCCCCGTTCGACCCCAACCCCAACTACTCGCCTCAGACGGCGGCCGCGTCCGCGTCCGCGCCGGCGGCATGCGAGCTCTGAGGACGTCGTGGAGTGCCGGCGGCCGCGCCAGCGAGCTCCGCGCCGGCGGCCGTGGCCGCACGAGCGACTCCCCGTCCGCACCGGCAGCTGCGCCGGCGAGCTCCCATCGGCCGCGCCAGCAGCGAGCTCCGCGCCGGCGAGCTCCCACGTCAACGGCCCACGGGATCTGCAGAGGAGACATGGAAACGATGTGCGCTCTCCCAACGCGAAAATCGCAGGTTTCTTCAGCCTCGTTTCACGCGGAGAAGTCGTGTGAGGTGTCTGGAATGCTTAGCAAACTTCACCCGGAGCAGCTTCGTAAAAACCTGAACCTGGTGGAGCACCCTTACAAGTGATCTCACAACTCTATTTTTTTTTTCAAACAGTACGTGAAGTTAAAATTGTTTAGCTAAAAAATATAGAGCAGAACAGTCCCAAACCTCACCTAAGAAACGGTTTCCTTCTCTTTCTACCTTTAATTGTCTTCCATATCATCAAAATTCTGACGTGGCAGCATAATAAATAAGGATACAAACTATGGTTAGAGCACTCATAATGGATGACTCATAAGCTAGCTCTAAATATTTTTTTTATATTTTAATAGAAAAGTGAGAAAAGCTAGCTCTTAATTAAGAGTTAGACTCATACACATATTTTATAAACATGTGAGAGTGTCATATGAGTCTATTCATATTATGAGTCATTGCTAAAAGCTAATACTATTGTAAAGATTGACTTAGAACTAGTAGCTAACTTCTACTGTTGTGGATGCCTTTAGTTCTGCTTTGGGAGTGCCCTCGAGGCACGGCCCCGTGCATGCTCGGGTCACAGCACGGCACGCCTTGGCGCGTGTGTGGCATGCCCTTCACAGTAGGTGCACCCACAAGCAATTAATTATTTGAGTTGAGTCAACATCAACATTAAGTTAAAATCTCATATGAAACTAAGAGTTTAATACACCTAGCATTTAATAAATATATATTATAATTTATTTGATTTTAGTTAAATTAAAAATTAAAATGGGCCGAACCCAATTAAAATCCAAAACGCCGATGACCAATTTTACGTTGGAATCGCCGTGTCGGCTTTGGATATCTAATGCCTCCGGGCCTTGGGCATGCAGACCAGAGTCCAGGCTTGCCATATATACTCCCAGTGGCGGATCCAAAGGGGGGGCTGGGGGGGGGGGCTCCAGCTCCTCTAATGTCTTGATTTCAAGCCTAATCATTGTAGCAAAAGCTTGATTTCACCATTAAATCTTCATGCAAATCAACATCTCCATTGTTTTAGCCCCCCCTTATCCCGCACCGTGCATCCGCCACTGTATACTCCGGAACCTAGGGCATCCGCGATGTGGCTTAAAAGAGGTAATAAAGCGGAAACATTATATTACCCGGCAGTAAAGCATTGTGAAGCCAAACAGTAGTTCCAGCCGGATATCAACTTTTCTTTGCGAGACCCAATATAGACGTGGACACTTAGAAACATGAGCACATACTCACCCCCTATGGATGTACATATGCACACTCAAATGACTAAAGCCCCTTTTGGCAGGCTTCATGAGCGGCTTTTGCACCGGCTTCTCAAGAAGCCGTACCAAACGCCCCCGTGCAAAACGGCTCGCGCGCAAAAGCCGCTAGAAGCTACACCAGGTTTTCTACTGCGTGGGAGAAGCCAAAAAAAGTGGCTTTCCCCGGCTCATCCATCTCCACAAAGGCAAAAAGACGCATGTGCCCTTATCCTTTCACCAAAATTACAAACATTTTGCCACTGGGCAGCGGTGCGCAGCAACGCGGGGGTGCGGCGGGGCAGCTTGGGCCTCGGCGCCGCAGGTGCAGGGCGGAACGCGGCGACCTGGCATGGGGCGGAGCTGGCTCGGGGCAGAGGGTGACGAGGCACCAGCGAGTGCGGGAGAGGTGAGGGCGGCGGCCTTGGAGGCACGGGGGAAGGTCTCCTCCACCACGGCCACCATGCCACCACCAGCACCACCAGCACCGCCACCACCGCCACCGCCGCCACGCCCGCTGCCAGGGGAGGGGAGGGGAGGGGAGGGGCTGGCCGCTGGCGGGAGGAGGGGAGGGGGCGGCGCCGGCCGGGAGGGACGGAGAGAGAGGAAGGGGAGAGAGAACCGATCGGATCGGATAAGGAGAGAGGGAGGCCGATCAGATAAGGAGAGAGAGGAGGGGAAAAGAAAAGAATGGGAGAAGGAAAGAGAAAGAAAAAAAGAAAGAAAAAGAAAAGGAAAATAAAGAGAAAAAAGAAAAAGAAAAGAGAGAAAAAAATATAAGGGTATTTTAGACATTTCACGTCTTCTTTACCTTCTAAAGAGCTAGGAGAAGCCGTTTTGCCAAACGTTTTCGTACAAAATAAGCTAGAGCTAGAAAAAACTGCTTTTCCATATGAGTCAGAGCTAAAGCTGTTTTTCACGAGCCAAAGCCGTGCCAAACGGGCCCTAAATTGGACCGACAAATTTCGAGATTAACGAAGTCACCGCATGCATTGACTACTACTGAAAGAATAATACCACAGAAAAATACGAGCACATGTGTCGAGATGTATGTGATTGTGGGAAGTAAAAAATAGATGAAAGAATCACTTGCTCTTTGATATAGCAAATATGTCCGTGCGTTATAATAGAGTTTATATCTTATATAATCTATTCTAATTCATATGATCATGTGTTATGAGTTTGGATAAGGAACAGAATAATAAACAATCAGGACTCTAATCTCTAATTCGTAGTATACTATTATGATGTAGAACCGGCTATAACTTTTATGCTGCAAAGAATACAGGGACATACGGATACACAGAGAGTATGATGGACCTTTATATTAGAGATATGTCTATATCATCTGTATATATAATTTTAATGAGCCAAATTCCCTGTCTCATTTTTTTCGTCCATCGCCTACTCTCCTGCTCCGTTTTTATAGTGACGAGTCTATTTCCTTGCCCGCTCGTTCCTGTCTTCCAGTTCTCCTTAGTTTGTTCCTTTTTCTTTTTTCAGTCCATTTCCATGTCCTGGTTCCCTTCAGCTCATGCATTTTCTTTTCTTGTTGAGTCCGTGTTACTGTCATGGTTTCCCCTCCCCCTCCTTTTTTCGAGCGTTCCTCCGTGCGTGTCCGTTGGTTCCATTTGTATTTGTTTTTTTTTCATCTGGATTTTTATTTGATTGTTTTCCCTTATATAAAAAATATATATCTAATATTAAAGAGACAAAAATTTATCTTATTTTTTTACCTCTCCCTAGCTAACTAGATAGTGGAAGGTTTCTTCCTTGCTACCTTTTTAACTTCCCAAACCACACTTCCACCCTCTGTGTCTCATATGTGACCCGAACTCATAACCCATGATCATACAAGTTAGAACAACTCACGTCTAGCGATTATGATACGGAGTTTGATTTCAAGACGTATTGGATCGCATCCTCGGCATCTCATATGTGACTTGGACTCATGACCCATGTTCATACAAGTTAGAACAACTTGAACCTAGCGACGATATGGAATCGGATTCCCCATTGCAATGCACATGCACGTTTGCTAGTTTATATAATACTTGCAAATATGTTCGTACGTTGCAATGTAAGAAAAAACATCAAACATTCATGGAAAAAGACAAGAATGTATATAGTATATATTTATGTTTGACCTTTTCTATAAAATTTTAAACTATAATTTATTCATGATGATCATGACTTCCATAATATAAGCTAATGTTAGTAATAGTATAACAGTGACCTATTAAACCTAATTAAAATTGAAATACAATCTTAATAGTTTTTCTTCCATTGCAAAGCATCAAAATATATATCATAACTTTAATTTTCATACTATCAATGTGTTTCTAGTTAAATATTAGGTTCCGCAACGTTATTCTAATTCTAATATCTGGTTAAGGTCGGCAAAGTTCTCAATGTGTCAAAGACTGATCTATCCCCAGGGGATTATAACGGTAGAACTCTCTCAATTTTTAGATTTTGTCAAGGATTGCAGTGGTATGTGCGTACAACTTATATAAATATTTATTTAAACTGGATTGGAAACAAACTGCTCAATATTTTAATTCATAGATTGGTTAGTTGAACTAAGAATATGTTCCATTGCTAATCAAAATTACATCAAAAACTTAGTTGTTAGAAACTTTATTTCCAACAAAAGAGTCAACCCATAGCTCGGTTGGTAGCTCTTTGGTTGTGGGATGCTTCAGGTCGGGAGTTTGACTCCCCACTTCCGTATGCTTATATTTGCGCATTGTAAAAAGTTCTCCTCGTCTGTCCCACGCCAAAGCACAGGCCTAAGGTCTGACCTAGTCTCATGTGGGCTGTTATGCCGCTGTATATATGTGGGGTAGGGGTTCGGAGCGTTTTCTGTCATACCCGCGGGTCGAGTTTTTTTATATACTTATTTGCTAAAGAGAAATCAGTACAGAAATACTAAAAAAATGAAAACAGACCAATGGACAAAAAATGAAAACAGACCAATGGACAAAAAAATAGAAACAAAAAGGATCTCGAGAATAAGAAAAAAGAAGTAAACAATCGACCAGAAACAGAAACCAACAGACTTAGCAGGTGAAAAAAACATCAACCAGAAACAAAGAAAAAGAAATAAAAAATCGACAGGGAACGGAAAAAAAGGAAATCGACAACAAACGCAAAACGAAACTCAAAGCTGAGAAAAAACAAAAATTCGAAGCAGTTCCTGAACACGGAACGTGCAGGAGTTGTAGAAGGGGAAGGGACTGGAGTTTGCGCAGAAAGGACAAGAGTTTGCGGAACAGGAAGAGACTGGAATTTGCGCTAGGTAAAACAAAACAAAAAAAGGAAAACACAAGGAAAAAAGCATAAAAAGAGCTGGTGGTTTAATATTAAGATAAGATAAGATTATAGTAAAATTTACCTAATTTTTTACTTTTATTTTTTTTTATTTGAATTAGGATTTCTATTTAACTTACTCAAAATCAAAGGGATCTATTTATATTAGGATTCCTAAGAATCTAACTGTCTAGTTTACTGA